GGCTCTCCACTTTTGAACTTCTGCATCAGGCTAAATGTCTTTATGTTTTCATGCCAGTTGGGAGCAGACAGGAAACTGTCATTTTTTTCTGCAACTGTCTCTCTAGCTGTCAGCAGTTTTTTAAAGTTGTCTCAGCCTGTTCCAGGGCTGGATTCTCTTTCTCACCCCAAAGCTGCCTTGGAATTCACAAAATGCTTGGCCCCCAGGTCAGGAATGCCGGAGATTCAAGCTTTCTGAGCTTTTTTACTTCTTCCTGTCTCTCATAAATTGGATAGATTAGTTTCTATTTGGAGGACAGGGAGACTCTTCACACCTTTCCTCCTCTGTACTTTAAATCACCTCTAAATGAATGACTTATAATGTCTAAGACAGCCTAAATGCTGTGGGAATGGTTGTTATATTGAGGGAGGAAAAACGTCTCTATGTTCAGTGCAGACACAGTGTTTGACCTGTGATCAGTTGAATCCATGGGTTTGGAGCCAATGGACACAAGGTGGACCATATGTGTTGCGATGTGAGCTCCAGGAATTCCCTCTTCCGTGTTCTGGGTGCTGCTTTCAAAACTCCCTGGAAACAAAAACATGTCACCGAAACATCAGGACCCAAATATGTTTCTATTAATAGTACGAAGCAGTACTCCAGTAGGCGGCTGCAGCTCTAGTGACTCATGTATGAAAATGCCCAGCATGCCACGCAGCTCTGTGATCAAAGGACATGGAAGGCCCAGTGTAATCATGCGTGGAGAAAGCAATGACGTTTCTGAAATTTTTAAATAACTCATCATTTTCATTGCTGAGTGGAGACGGAAGGGTCCCAGGAGGGGAGGGCCACAGAAAGTCCCGAGATATGTTTACACTCCCATTAAAATGACAGAGTAAAGTTGAGACGCGAGAAATCACTCAGCCGGGGTGGTGAAGATGGGGACAAGCCATGGGCAGGCAAATGGCTAAAATAGTGAAGGGTTTCCTTCCTGTGGACTCAGAATGGCCCAGGCACTTTCTGGCTGTCCCTATAATGATGATGAAGTAACACACACTGGAGCTGGGGCATATCTCACCTGGCCAAGGGCTTCGTGTGGGTCAGTGGGCTTAGCCTTTCTCACCTGAGTGAAGACACACCTGAGCAAGCGAGCAGAGCTTCTGGAGCAGGAGGCGTCCATCTGCCTTTGCCTGGGTCCCTGTGACTCCGGGCCCACAGTGACCCCAGGAGTCAGGGGTGTGGAGGTGCATAGGAGAGTCCTGGGGTGGCACTGGTGCCAGGAATAGAGTGACTACCAGGTAGTGGCCATGTGCTTGGACCTGGGGTCTCAGCCTTCTTGCAGAGTGTGCCTGGGCTTTCCAACAGCAGACACCACACAGCAACTACGCTTACACAACACAGGGCATTGTGTAGGACGTGTTCTCAGGAGGAGAGCTGTTACTTTTCCACATCAGTCTCGTGAGTTTTACTTTCAATTAATCATTTTACAAAATTGGAGTAAGAAGAGTTTCTCAGTCCCTGAGGGGAGAATTCCTTCAGTCCCGGGATAGTCAGTGCCCCTAAACTGTTGTATTTCCTCTTGTTTCCAATGAGCTGTTAGGAAGCAGATCAAAATAGCAGAGTGCCAAGAACTTTACTGCTGCTGGGGTGTGAGCAGGGATATGTAGCATTTGGAATATTCTCAACTACTTTAGTAGCTGCTGTGTGATTTCTGTGTCCAAATATCCCATGTGTTTATTAGTAGGTGCTCACAGATAAAGGATGGGACCAGGGGACCATGAAATCACTTTTATGATATTATTTCAAATTTATGCCTTGCAACTCTATTAAGCTTGTATATATTTGTCTCTTTTTTACTCTCAGAACAACATGAAATTAAAAAAACCTATTAATCAGAGTTATAACTGGAACTTATAAAATTGAACAAAGAGTGTATGTAGGAAAGTGAGTTAGAAAAACACTGTTTTCACCTCGGGACACATGGATTCACTATAAATTCTGAGCCATGCCACTTTCATTTTGGAATGGTTAATTCTCTGGTCAGTGAAAAAATAAAGACAATTAAGTAGAAAATAATTTTATTGCTATATATAAAACCAAGGGCTAGCAAAACTCCTGGCATCTAAAACTAAATCTCACTCTGTCTTGTTTTTTTCTACATTACCAATGAGTAAGACTGATGAAAAATTACTAGTCTCCGGGGAATGATAAGGGTAATATAATGCTAATTTTAAAAGACCCATATGCTAGAATACTTTTGCTACTTATTAAATATTTATAAGCTTTCAGTAAATACCAACTATGGAAATATTGAGTACTTCAACAAGCATCTTTCTAGATCTCCTCTTTTTAATGAATAGGTTGAAGGAACTTTTCTTTGTAAGTAAATTAACCACCATCTATAGTAGGGTGCAGTAATGGCTATAATTTTTACCATTCACATTTATAGTTGAACTCTCAAATTCGTATTTTTCTTATTACAATGGGGATCAAGAGAGGGTAGCTTTGTCAGTGATCCTGACATTCCTGGGCCCTCTCTCCACATTCTGGGTCCGTTTGGGGCAAACCTTTCTGATATAATGGGGCAGGTGGGGCTGGGAATTTAGCAGCCCTCAAGGAACATTCTTTCCACTATCTGGCTTCTCTACCTCAGTCTCGATTAGAGAGAAATATAATCTGATTCTACTTTGAATAAATTAAAGAAAATGTGTTTTGAGATAATTTTACCCATGATAAATGGCAACATAAACATGCTTATAAATATGGGTTGAGTGACCCTCACTTCATTAGAAGATGAGAGCAGGCTGGTGAAGTCTTTGATCCACAGAGTACCCATCCTGGTGGGGATTAGAGGAAACTACAATGACAGATCACCACTTTAGAATTTGATCTTAATTATTCACATTGGTTCAACTGATCTTTCATTGCCAAACATGTTCAACAAATATTACTGAGGATAGCATTATTCAAGGTAGGAATATTTGACTGGGGAGAGGACTTAGATTCCTGGGCCTCACTGAATCACTTAGAGTATCCACTGGTGACCCACACATTACTCACATGTCTGCTGGTTCTGCTAATCTGGGCTGGGCTCAGCGGGGTGGTTTTCTGCCATTGTGGATCTCTCAGATGCCGGGAGGCAGGCTGCATGTTGCTCATCCAATGTGGCCTTGATGGGGACAACTGGTGTACTGCAATCTGGTAGTTGAATGACCCCAAGGCTGATGTGTTTGAAGGTCTGACTCTGAGCCTGGTGCTATTAGAACCCTTACGAGGTAAGGCCTAGATGGGGGTGCTCTCTGGTCATTTTGGGTGTCTTCTCAAAGGGGATTGTGGGACCCTCGTCTCTCTCTCCCTCTCTCTGCTTGCTGGCTCCATTTTCTTTCTATGTGCTCTCTTGCCATGATGTGCCACCACTTACCACCTTCACCAGAGTTGAGTTGATGCAGGCACCCTGCCCTTGTAACTCTGAGACTGTTAGTGAAGTGGACATTTTCTCTTTATAAGTCAGTTGCCTTGAGTATTTTTTTAGCAATAAGGTGAAGTTGGCTTATATAGCCTTTCGTCCTACAATGTTTCTGCCTACAATGTTTCATGGAGTAGTAGATTAATTGTAAAAGCGACTTCTGTTCTCCATGCTTTCTTGGACCCCAGATAGACAAAGCCCCTGAGCTGGGCTCCAGTCAGCCCACAGCTGTCCTAGCAGTGAGCCCCTGGCCCAGCTCAGGGACTACTGAACCAAATACCTGCTGTCACACGTTGCTGGGGTGCTTTGCCTATTTGTTACACATTAGCTTGTGCAACCCTTACACACTCCCTGTGTGACTTCAGCCTCTTGACTGCTGGCTTATGCCCTTGGACTGCAGATGGCAATAGAAGAGGCTGGGTGAAGAGTTCCCTGGGCTCTCAGGGAAAGCTTGGGTGGGCACCTAGGTGGCCTTTGTGTTCTGTGAGGGTGCACAGTGCCCGGTTCCAGATGGCAACGTGCCCAACAGCTATTCTTTATCCTTGAAATTTAAGGTGGGTGAAGGGGGGAGTAAGATACATTTGTATGTGGCCCCAGTAGTGTTTTTCCACTGGTTAAAAGCCCTCAGTTTGAAGTTATTGCCCATTTAGTTTTTTTCTGAATGAATGACCAACATAAGGCAGAGAAAGGGGCAGAGAAGCAGGAGTATATTTGCTGCATAGCCTGAAATCTATGCTGATTAAATAAACAGGGACTCTTCTGAATTGGCCTGTGGCTCTTCCACACCTCCTCCTACAGCCTAACAAGCCAGGTGTGCAAGAGCAGAGGCATGGGTGATCCCAGCTTTATCACACCTGGATGTGCAAGTCTCTACCACAGGGGACCCTCAGGGCACCTCTGACTCGAGAGAGGACCTGGCTGCCACATGTGCCTGCAAATTTCCTCTGTGCCCAACAGCCAGGGCCAAGAACCCAGCACCTTTTCCTCCTAACATCCTTCTCTGTGTTCTGACCTGGAGCCTTAGCACTGACTTGGATTTAATTTGTTTGTGTGTCTGATAAGCAACTGTTTCCTGGCTCTGATCGGTATATCTTTTTTCTTCCAGCCTGAAAGAATCCTCTATTCCTTCTTACAGGAATAAGGAAGGCTGTTCCCTTCTTCTTAGGCTATCTGTCCTCATTGCATTCTGTCTTCCATTTTCATCCACAAAGGGGAAGAAGGCTGGCCCTTCCTTTCCTCGATAGCACGAGGTCATTGCAATAGCCAGATAGCACAAGGTCACAGGGAGCAAACACCGGGTTCCAGGAGCCTGGTGGGTATCAGCATGGTCTCGTCGTGGATTCTGTCCTTCTAGTGTAGAAGGGAAACATGCACATAATTCATAGATGCATCCGGAGTTGATTCTTACCTGTCTGCCCCACGGGACAGTGTGGGAAGGGAGACTCGTGGCAATGGATGCCCTTCAGTCACTGCTTTCCAACCCAGCAAACTGTTGAGCCTGAGCAGGGACTTCCTCTAGACAAACCTTTGCTCTACCATTGTGTCTTGCAAACAGAACTTAACATCTGAGAAGGGACGCACTGGTTCCCTAAGAAAGAAGCCCAAGTTGAAGGCCTCCCGAACAGGCCCAGACTCTGCACCTAAACTGGAGGCCACCAAATGAGGTCAGGACAATAAAAAAGAATATGTAAAAATTTGTCATGAGTTTTCCACTGTATTTTTAGGGTTTTTTGGGATGGATAATGGGTTGTTGAAACTGAAACTACTACTTAAGAACTGTACCTTATACCAATATTCTTACTCTCTGATTTGAAATATTGCCAGTCCTTTTGGGTGATACATATATTTTTGTATGTGTAAAATTATTCTCAATATCACTGAAAATAGTAACAAACTGGATCCGGCCTCAACATCCAGCAATAGTTAATTACTAAAATAAAGTATGGAACCTCTGAACAATGGAATTCTTTGCCACCATGAAATAATTTCTATGGAAATCTTATGTTTTATACCTTTACATATGTGTTCCTGCATATCAAGGTAAGCGCACAGTGTTCAAAATGTGCTCATTTGGTGGTGGGATTGTGAGTAATTTTAATGTATACATTGCATTACATATAATCTATTCTGTGATTTCAAAATTTAAAAATATGTGTGATATAAAATACAAGTACAGCTAAATAGAAAGGAGCAGTCATTCTTAATAACTGTTAAGGCACACAAAAATGCATTCATGTCTTCTGCAGCTCCATTACTTGCTTTAATAAAACAGAAACTCGAGGTGAGAGAAGTAGAGAAGACAAAGCTTTCATTCTACTCAGAGTCAATCTCAGCCAAGCAAAACTGTACATACACAGAGACTTTGCATGTGGCTTAGTCAGAAAAGCCCTGTTGGCTTTGTAAACAAGGTGGTTCTCATTTCAAGGCCACTTGTCATGAGGAAAACTTTCTTGGCATTGAACATTAAATAATTATTAGCTGACACGTTGCACTTAATAGTTTGTGGTCTCAGCTCAAGTTTATAGAAAAAGTTTGACCACAGCTCTGAGACACCTCATCATTCAGGTGGGGGCCTCATGCTAACACGGTGGTACCAGCTGGCTGGTCACCATAGCCCGGGCCAGAGAGGCTCACTCCTTATACAAACCTCCGGGGTCACTCTTGGAGTTGGCTGATCACACTTGGCTGTAGACTCTTGGTACATAGAAGTACTTGGAGAGAAATCTCAGGAGTCCCAAGTAAGCAGAAAGTGACTCTCCACAGGGTATTTTTTGGGGCATCAAAGGGACAAGCAAGAGGAACCAGAATAAGTTGCACTATTATGAAGGATATCACTTGTACAAACAAATCCTAATCTCCTAAAATGTTACTAGCAAATATAAAATGCCATCGATTAAACATATATTAAAATATGTCACTCTACCCCCATAAACATATACAATACTGTTTTAAAAAGAATAAATTTTAAAAAACACGATTACACATCATGACCAAATGTGGAAAAAAGGAAAAGAAAATACCATCGGTTAGTGGAAGAACTCCTGGAATAGTAACAAACCTTTAATGGTAGAATAATCTGTGAGATTTAGAAAAAGAGTAAGACAGCACTCCAAGTTTGGCTTGGGTCCATCATGGGATGCCACCGCTCACTCCTTGTGATGTCTGTGTTTGCTTTTTGTTTTCCTGCATTGAACACACTTCTTTCCAACTTGCTTTTATCTGTTATTACTAAACTTCTGGAAGAGTGTTAGCTTTCTATCCCTGTAACAGAATACCCCCGAGGCAATCAACTTATGAAGAACAAAGATTTGCTTTTGCTCATGATTTCAGAGGCTTCAGTTTATGGTCACTTGGCTCTGTAGCTTTGGGCCTGAGGCAGCCTCACATATCATGGCAGGAACTTGGGGTGGAGGAAGACTGTTCATCGCATGGTGGCCAGGAAGGAAGAGGGAAGGAGAGGGAAAGAGGCAAAGATGGGGGAGGGGACAGAGAGAAAGGGGGTGGAGAGACAGAGAGGGAGGGAGAATTCCAACATTGCCTTTCAAGACACCCTCAGTGAACTCACTTCCTTTTCTGCCTAGCAGGGCCACAGGCTGTGCCATTTCCAACCTCTGCACTCTGTTGCAGAGCTGTGGGGTTGTGAACGCTCCCTCCAAGGTAGCTCATGACCTGAGGGTTCCGCATCTTGTTCCACATCACATTCACCTCCCTGGGCCATTTCCCACTCTGACTTTCCTTCACGAAACTCTTCCACTCTGTGTGAGAAGCTCTGCGCTTGTTACCATCCTTCTCCTTCCCCTTCCCCGTCGTTTCTTTCTTCCACCCAACCCAGAGGTGTCACTGTCTGTGGATCCAGGCTGCAGACTTCCTCCCTCTCCACACTGCGCATCCTCTGTAGGTTTTTTCAGCTCTCTCCTGACATTAGCTTCCATCGTCAGAGCTGAGAAATACACATGTGGCTCAAATCTCTCTTGCAAGGGAGTGGTTGGAGCTTTGGGACAGGGTTGACATTCCCACACCATCCCACACCATCCAGGACAGCTCAGAATGGACTCACAGCCTTCCCTGTACATGCCCTGCTTTCTACTCCGGTCCCAGCCTCAGCCACCCGCCTTCCAGCCTCCACACAGCCTGCCACTCCCGACCCATCTCTTTACCAACGCTGGCTCCTTCTACTCTGACCTGTCTAGTTTTATCTATGTTCTTGCTACTATCTCTTTTCAGCATATTACTGCCAAAGCCTTTGCTTTCTTTTCTGTGATTTCCCAAACTCCCTCCTCAAATGAGTGGCTTTACCGTCCCAGGATCTTTCACCAAGTATTGATTATGTCACTTTCCTGGCTCCCTACCTTCTGTACTGTGTGGCGTGCACTCCAGTGAGACAGCTCTGGCAAATGAACCCGGGACCTTGTCTTGAGCTGTATCCCTGGCCCATGTTCTAGGTTTTATTTGCAGACAGAGTTTTGTTAAGTTGCTATATTGCCCAGGCTTGGATAAGAACCTCCTGTGATCCTTCTGCCTCAGCTTCCCAGAGTGCTGGGACGACGGGTGTGTGCCATTGTGCCCAACTGGGGCACTCTTCAGAGCTCTCCCTTAGAGTACCCGAGCCACCCTCCTGCACAGTTATCTAATATACGTGCGACTTTGCCTCATGTTCCAATGCTCGCGTTGCTCCTTTGACTCGAAATGCCATTTCCTTTCTCTTCCTTTTCCTGCTTGCTCGAATCCAATTCACCCCCACTGACCTAACAGCCCGCCAGGGACTGCAGAAGTTCCAGAACCCAGGGACTGCGGCCTGAGTCCATTTGATACGCCGACTCTGGACATTCGGCAATTTCCGGAATTGCAAAGCTACTTTCTTCAGCAAAACCTTTGCATGATATTTTTCAGCTGTTCCTGTGGGGAAAACAGGGAACCCCACCGGATAAGGTGAATGCTGGAGGGAAATTACAGAGAATGACAGAACTAATGCTCCTAACTGCTGTCATGTGAGAGGGGCTACTTTTTTTTTATACAATGCATTTTTAAGCACAATCATGGGGATTAGAGTTGTCAATAGAATCCTAAATAGAAATAATTAGAGCCAGGTTTCTGAAGAGTTATTTCCCAAGGAATTTCCATGATTGCATTCCAGGTTTAAAAATAACTCAGAAGGACTGGCAAAGGGGAAGAAAAGAGAAGCTTATTACCTCGGAATGAATACAAAGCCCAACAAATTCACAAGACCAAGGCTACAAGGCCGGACTGCAAAGGAATACGCTATGTTTGAGAGAAACACACCAGAAATGAAGAAGAAACTCCGAGTTGCTCTGTGAGGGCCGCGTTTGTCTCTGACCATAACAGAAGTGTATCAGTTGCATGCCACGGTGTCCCAGTTGGGCAACCTCAAAGCAGGTCCCCGGTAAGGGTTCCTTCTGCCTGACACACCAAGAGGGTGAGTGGGCTCCGGGGAAGGCCTGGGCCCTCTAACTGCTGCCCTCGGCACCAGATGCCTGCTGAGAGTTGGAAGTAAGTGAGGGCGGCCCTGTTCCCCTCAGGCAGCTGTACTGGGAGCCGGAGGAAGGCACAGGCTGGATGCCCAAACCAGGGAGGAATGGGCCGAAGTGGGAGAATGTGGGTGAGCACTGTGCCGCTCTGGGGAGGCTTTCATCTGTGGGTCTCCATCGGCTTCGTGGCTGGGGGTCTAGGGTGAGGCCAGGGCTCGCTTCCCGCCCTGTTGAGCAGTACTTTTCAACCAATGGCTTCAGGAAAGGTGCACGGTGCTGTGGCCAGTGTGACGGGAGATGTGAGCGTGTTTTAGGCCCCCAGTGACACCACTGACGGAGCAAAGCCTGTGCGACTCACACAACAACAGTGTTGCTCACGGTCTGGGAGGTGGAATTCCGTGTTGGGGCGTGGCAGGACCGGCTGCTTCTGGTATCTTTCTCCTTGGCTTTGATCCCCCATCTTCTTCCCCTGTGACTCCTCATTTCCTCATTTTATAGTGATGTAAATATACCAAGTTCTGGTAGCAGAGCCAGGGTGATTATTTCTCACCTCAAGTGCAGGAGTGCGTGAGAATTTTTGGCAGCCCTTTCTCTACCACAGATGTCTTTGCCACAGTTCACTATATAAAATACATAGTGTAAAAAATAAATACATAAATAATTTCCTTATTATCCAAGGATACTAATCAGGATGGATTAAGATTCATCCTAATGATCGCATTTTAACTTGACACTTCTCTAAAGACGCTATCGACAAATAACATAATATTCTGGGATCCTAGTGGTTTGAAATGTACCAAAATGGACTTCAGAGTTAGGCACATAATTTGACAGAGCACCCAGTATAAGATGAAATAGACTCAGACTTTGCTTTTAATGCGTGAATGACTACCTGTTGAACAGAGAGATGGAATAATTAAGTAAACACAATTAAGTAAGAGCCCCTTCTCTTAACATCTGGTTTTTACCAGGGGAGGCTGTGAGATGTGAGGTCTTTGGTTTGGCCATCTGTAAAATGGGAATCATAATCCTAATGCTAGACACTGGTGAATTTTAAACCAGTTTCAAGAAAGCTGTAAGAACAAAGTGGTAAATCTTATTTGTTATCTGAGAGCTGTAAAACTGGGAATGATTGAGACAGACACCACAGAGTTAATGGAGAAGGAATGGAATAAGAGGAACACCTTTCTCGCTTTAACTGTTAGTGATGGAAACCTGGTCGGGACGTCATCTCCCTAGCTCTTTTATGGATATTTCCCTTAACAGATGTATTTACCACTGGCAATGACTCCACACATACCTGAGGAATAAAAGTTCTGAATTCCTTTTGTTTGTCACTCCATTGTGCTTTGGATTCATTTTCAGGGAAATAAACAACACTCACTTTGGTATAAAGGAAGATTTAAAAAGAAAAACAAACTCTAGACTGTGCAATCTTGCATTTATTTATTCCACTTGGGGCTGCATTATTTCCTAAAAAAAAAAGCATTCTCCTTCCACGCGTAATCTTTTGGTACCTTTAAACACTAATCTTATCACTGGAGTTTTTTTTTCCTTTGATGAGAATTTTTATGAAAATATCAACATTCCCATCTTGAAATTCCTCTTGACAAATTTTTCAATTAGTATCATTCCAGCTGTATTTTGTTTTCTCCCCAACTGGTGGACAAAATACAAATAAAAAAGCACCCAGTGTGAGTATGTTCTGATGCACGACATTATAAAAATTAAAATACACGATGAGAGACTGTTTTGTGGACAGTACACAGGAGCTGAAGTCAGGTCAATATTGGAAAATTTGTATAAACAATCACAGATACGATTTGTATATCCTTTTCGATGCATCAGATAACTCTGAAGCAGAAATATTATTGTCTCAACTTTTCTGTGAGGAAACTAAAGGCTTGACAGCTTATTTGTGGGAGAAGTATATAAGCAAGGCTCAAAGTCAGTTTGCAGATTTAAAGTCTGCGCTCGGTAAACTCTGGCAAGTTTGGGCCAGGGATTTAGCTCAGTGGTTCCAGCTCCTGTCTCGCAAATGCAAGGATCTGAGTTGGATCCCTGGTACCACACACACACACCAAAAAAACTCCAGCAAGCTTGATTTAGATGACATTGCTGGGTGAGTCACCACAGAGGGGTTGAGGAGCTTCCAAAAAGAAGAGCCTTTTAAAACAGACCCAATGCCACAGGACTGTTGGTTCTCAGGGGAGAAAATGAGCTGGCCTCAAGCCCTCTGTGGGAAGCTGCCTGCTGGGATGGCCACATGACACTCAGACCCAAGGACTGTGGAGGGTGTGCGGATGCAATGTGAGAAAAACATAAATAAGAGTGCTTTAAAAATGCATAGTGCATCTGAAACAAGAGGCATGTTTCTGTGCTCTATAACAGAAGAACTTTGGAGAGGGCAGACAAAGTCTTCCATCTCCTCCACCATGCTGCAGGGACACGGAGGACTTCAGTGGCCCATGGGTTACTGCCTTCCAGCACTGTCAATGTTCTTGCTAAAGAACCTTGATTTAGGGAGACAAGGACAGGGGTGGTGAGTCTTGGTTGGTTTGGACTCGTTCATGATGCTGAACAGTGGCAGCCTTGTTTCCCTTTGCTGGAGTCTCAACCTCAGAGCCTTCCTAAGGTTCTGTGGTGACGGTCACAGTGCGCTCAGATCTCCTCACCCCAGACATGGTTCAGTTTCCAGTGTGTCACCTCTGGAATGCAGACACAGCCTTGCAAAGCCCTGCAGCCAGTGACAGGAGCAGAAGCGAGGCCCTACCTAGGATGCCATGCCTGCTCCCGTTGCTCTGGGGCAGTGGACCCAGGAAAGGGTCCTTGACCCTGGGCGGTAGAGTTTAGGGTCCTGCATCAGTTGAGGTGCTGGTGGGAACCCCTTGTTCACGGCAGCAGGGCAGCATCCTGGGAACTTTAGTTAGTGGATCAGGGCCCACATGCATTGGAGAAGCTGCGGTCCTCAGGGTCTGAGCCTGCAAGGACCAGCGACACGGGGCTGGACAGAGGCCTCCCTGAGGGGAGGTGCGGGGAGTGCGTGCAGCTGTGTTCATGTGAGAGATCCTCTGTGCACAACTCTGGAGGCCAGTGCAGCGAGGAAAACCAATCTAAACATTCTTCATCACCCTTGGCCCACTTCGTGGAAGCAGCGGGTGAGGCTGGGAGTCCAGGGCTAATCTCTCTGAAGTCTCCGAGACTGACAGCGTTCCTGTCCAGGTCATCTGTTCAGGCCAGCACACACTGGTGTCACGCTGTCCAGAGCACTAGGCCCAGGACCAATGACTTTTATCCAAAGAAGATATCGTTCCTCACACTATTGCCAGTCTTCCCTCAAATTTCTGCCTGTCTCTCAGTGACCATTGCTTGCTTTCCCTCTTGTTTTGTTCTTTAATATCTTTGTTCCATTTTATGTGTATATTTTCTACGTCATACCATTTCACACACATATTTATATTTGATATCAAATAAGTTATACTTAGTATATATTATATACATGTAAGACTGTATCGAATAGACCATCTATATCAAACAGAGTAACAGTCTCTATAGGGTGGATATACATGCATATATATACATACATATATATTGTAGTATTATATGTAGAACTTGGGGTAGCTATTTGACACCATGGATAAAATCAATCACACTTTTAGGAAATAACATTCTCACAAAGGTCACTAAACAAAGCACATTAAATATATGTTTTAAATCTTTCTAAAAATTAAAGATCGAAAGGTAGTGAGCACTCATGCAATTCTATTTGGGACCAAGATCAAGCCATGGGAGTGGGATTGTCTCTTGCCTAAAACAATAGCAACAAACCTGGCAAAATATGTGAAACCATGGTGACCAAGGTATGGGCTATTAAGCAATGTCATTCCTGGTAGGTGTTGGTCCAGCAAGGCAGGCCCTGAGGCAGCCCCAGCTTGCTATCCTGGGAGAGTTTCCGGGGTGCAGAAGGGAACCCAGGTGGAATAAGGCAACATTTGAGCTGAGGAGATGGATCTGGGATTCCAGGTCTTGGGTAGAATTTGCACCTGAGAAGAGGAAGGACAGACAGAGGACTCCAGCTGCAGGCAGAGGGGCACAGTGGGTCTAGCTCCTCACACAGTCCCAGGGAAGAAGCTCCTGGAAAGATTAAGAATGCAGTGCCAGTGCTCATAGTTGTCTGAGAAGAGCACTCCCTGTCAGAGAGTGTGGAGAGTCCAGAATCCCTGGGAATCAGGCAGAGGATAAGGAGGCCGGGCCTCAGTGTAAAAAGAGAGCATCCTGGAATTGACACTGTTCTGGTCACAACTAACAAGTAATGACCTCAAAAACTGCCTGCTCCCAAGAAATTCAACTGATTATACCTCAAGCATATTTATAGGAATATGGAAATATTGAGCATCCACCAACATCAAATTTGCAGTGTATGGAATTAATAAGAATTATAAAGTATGCACTTGGGCCAAGATGTAGCTCAGTGGTACAGGTCCTGAGTTTGATCCCTGGTACCTGGAAAAAAAGGTATGCAAATAAGTAGGAAAATATGACTTATATGGAGGGTAGGGAGCCAAATATGTGTACAAGCAGAGTCCCTGAAAGAGAGGACAAAGCAGTCAAGCTTAAATTTTGAATAGCCCCAAATCTTTCATATTTGATGGAAGTGATAAACTTGAAGCTCAATAGCTTCAGGCACAAGACATGGGAAGAAAACCCAGAAGAGGTGTAGCATGATGAAATTGCTCGAAATTAGTGATAAAAGAAGGAACATCTGAAAAGCAGCAAGTGGAAGGATACATTGTTCCAAGACCAGCAACAGTAATGACAGCAGATTTACTGTTGGAAACCGTGGAAATAAGAAAAGATGGTACTGCAACTTCTGAAATAAGGGGGGGGGAGGAGGAAAAGGAGGAGGAGGAAGAAAAGGATGATGATGAGGAGGAGACCAGAAAGAGTAGAGGAGGGAAGGGAAGGGACAGGAAGGGAGGGGAGGGGAGGGAATGGAAGGGAAAGTCGATCTTGATTTTTCCCTCTTTCTGGATGCCAGTGGTCAGGACAGCATCTTGAGGGTGGGCACATCCCCACTCAGACCCCCAATGCCTGCCTCCTCCAGAAGCCTCCTCTCAGACACTCCCAGAATTCCCTCTACCAGTCATCTGCCCAAGTGTCCCTCAACCCAACAAGGTGAACCTAAAAGAAACCATTATAACACTCATGAGAAAGAAGAAAACAAAGTGTGGGTAGAGCCCTAGTTGGAACCTGCTCCATGCCTACAGTCAGCAAGGAAGAGGTGGCCCCGACACCCCACTCCTGCTGCAGTGTTGGAGGGAGCCCGTGAGACCCGGGCTCACCCTCCCTGACTCGGAGATGTGCAGATCTCCGTCGAGCCGGAGAGACTGTGCTCTGGGTAAGAGCACCTCCGGATAGCCACCACGAGGTGGCAGGGGTTAGGGTTTCCTGGCAGAGGTTTCCACGGAACTGA